CGATCAAACTACACTATTACATGTTACCCCCGGGTTCAAACCATTTACTGTACTTTTCACTGCCTTACACACATGTTACGTATCTTATCACGTGACCTGGATCGGACCGTTTTCAAAATGGCCGTCGATTAAGCGTCAAAAAAAATTTGTGGAAAATTTGGTTTTGCACAATATATCGTGTATTTGCTCATTTAGGATTCTTTAGCCTAAGAGGAATGCATTGGGACCAAAAAAAAGGGGGAAGATTTGGCGTCAGTTACCCTTTAATTTAATAGCACATTGACACCTAAACCGCCCGTAACTGGCCATGCCGCGCGTGCGGTGGACTTACACGAGAGACGCTTTTTCCCCACCCCCTTACTATGCGGAACTTAGTCCACAGACTCCTCTATTGTAAGAGGATCTATAAACCAATCAGAATCCGTCTTTTGCGCAGATATTTTGATAACTTTGGCAGATACTAGAAAGGGGTCACTTTGTGCGTTTACAAGAAATGATCAAATATGAAAAAAGGGCGTCCGCGCGACCGACTTTCAATATTTTCAAGTCGGATTTTCCGTTCCTTACCGATCACGTTAGACCTTCTGGAACACAAAATAAAAATAAAAAATGCTATAGAATACTCTGCTCGGAAAATAATTGACATCAAAGTCTTAAAAGCGACAAAATAACCTTTCGAGTCAACAACACTAGGATTCACTGAGGCGGTGCGAATTGGGGCCATAAAATGAAAACCAAACTTTCGGACTTCGAGCGATGCCTAGCGACATTATGAAGATTCTAAGACCAGGTAAATATTATTTTTGAGTAAAGAGATGTCCAAAAAGTACATTTTAAGGGAAGACCTTGTGTCAAAACGTAGAACTTTCAGAATTTTCAACATAAGGCTGCGCAATTTTCTGACCGTGCACAGGGGGCCCAAGCTCCAGCCGTGAGATGATCACCTTGCGAAATAATAGTCATGGCAAAACTATAAGAGTTTGTATGAGAATATTTACGATCGCTCTAGGGAACAATAAATGTAAGATAAATTCTCACCTTACTTCCAAAGTACATCGCTTGTTATCTGACCGCTTATCATGTTGAAAAGCACCCATTTTAGCGAGTTATCCATTTCTAGTAGTAAGTGGTCAGATAACAAGCGATGCACTGTGGATGTAAGGTAAGGTATTTTTATTGAGAATTTGACTTATTTTTTTAATCCTTTAAGTGGTCGTAAATATTCCCATACAAACTCTTGTAATTCCGCCATGACAGTTATTTCGCAAGATGATTACCTCGCCATCTGTAGGCCGTGAAGTCAAGTAAACTACGATCTAAGCATGATGAATTCTATTTCGTGTG